GCATGGAGGAGTGCTAGCCACATGCTCCAACATGTGGCCTTGGGCTTTGTTGCCGCAAACAGTAAAGCAGCAACGACGCATGCAAATGCACTGCTGTTGTCATCTCGATTGGGTGTTGTTTTGGGGCTGCAGCATGGTAGTCAAGTGCTTCCAGCACTTGGCATTGGTTGGCACTTGGTTTTTCAGCCAAGGGCCTTATCTGGTGCGGGTTAAAACGTGCACCAAATATGGATTTTTTGGGCAGCCCACGTAAAGATGCAATGGGCTCAATTTTAGACCGTGATCACATTGTTGTGCAATATTTCTTAATCCATAATTTTATAAAAAAATGTTGTTGCATGTTAGAAACATTCTGGAGGCCCAATTGAGTGAGGCCCAATAACAAGTAGACTTGGCAAAACGGGCGGGTGGGCCAAGTCGTCACGGGTATGGGTCCAACAGGTCTGGGTCATATGCCGGTCCAAAATATTGGACCCATACCTTATCCTATGCTAGTACGGGTGCACCCGCGGGTGCCCTTTTTTTCTCTCCAGGTTTTAAATTTTCGTTTCACCCCAATAGTTTTCAATTATGACAGTTACACCCCCAAAATTCCTATAGTTTTAATTTTTTACATTTACACCCCTAATCAACTACTATAAATTCAATTCAATTTAGAATATAAACAAATATGAACCAAAATAAACAAATAACACATAAACAAACACAATAAGTCAATAACATATAATACAAAACTATAAATACCAACCAAAATAAACAAATACATAATCACTAATAGTAATACAAATAAACAAACACAACAATCAAGTCAATAACATATTATACAAAACTACAAATACCAACCAAAATAAACAAATACATAATCACTAATACACATAAACAAACACAATAAGTCAATAACGTAAAATACAAAGCTACAAATACCAATTAAAATAAACAAATACATAATCAAATGTTCAACAAAAAACATTCTTGGGCAGCAAATGTTCATCCCACAGTGGTGGTTGATATAGTCTCTTGATTCCACAGTCTCGGGATTAGTTAATGGCACATCAAGATCATCATCCGAATCATCATTCGCATCATCATCTACAAGACAATGATCAACTACAAATATTAATAAATGTAAATAATAAATTATATGAAATATAATGTTAACATGTTATTTGTAAACTCATTTCCCTATAGCCAAGTCCAAGTGCATATCAAAGATTCTGCATTCTTAGGTCAAAGTGAGCTTTGATATTTATTGAGCACTTTACTACCAATACTAAAAGTTGACTCTGAAGCAACAAATGTTATTGGTATTGCCATGATATCACAAGCCATCATGGCAAGTACCAGATAACGATCACAATTGTTCTCCAACGATCAAGGATATCCAAATTCTGATATTTGATGTGATCAAACCTCATATTTTCCAAATAAAGATCTAATTCGGATTTCTTAGTGGAAATAAAATCACTCTCGTAGTTGTCAAAATCTTGCACCATTTAAATAGTTAAGTGTCAAAAGTTAAAATTAAACAATAAACAGTACTTTATTTTTCGTAAGAATATAAAAACTAAAAAGTATAGTGACTTACAGAAGAATTATCTACACGCCTACCAAGAGTAGGACCACTCGCAGGAGAAACAACTAAAGGTAAGGCAAAAACTTCTTTGGAACATTGAGCCTCGTAAGCTTGAAAAAGCTTTTGCAAGTTATTCTTAACAACCTCCAACTTTCGTATGGCAGTAGTTAAATCATAAGCTTTCTTGAAAGTATACTCCACAAACTAAAACTTGAGATGTGGATCAAGAATAGTTGCAATCGTCAACACAAGACTATAAAAATCCCAATATTTTGCAAATTTTGGCATCATTTGTTCCGCCATGCTCCTAACAACTTCATCTTCTCTTCAATTAAACACAATTGAATTTCCCACACACATTTCAGGTACAAGTTTGCTGTAGGATATTTGGAACCCGAGAATAAAGTCGTAATATCATAAAATGGTTCCAAGAACTTGCAAATTGTAACGCCCCACTTGAGGTACGTCCTTAAGATTTGCTGTTTTGCTTAAATGTTTATTGATTCAGCTTTAATTGAGTTTGTGTGTTGAGTTGGTTGAGTGTTTACCTTGAAATTGGTTGAGATTTGAGGAATTTTGGAATTGCAGTCTTCACTGGGGCGAAGAGTAGTCTTCGCCNACATAGATTCAGCTACTATTGAACACAGAAGGTAAGTTTTTTTTTCCAGAAGTTGTTTTATTCATTGAAGATCCTGCTAGCTTGCAATTCCCCCTTTGTGTTGTGGCATTTCATTGTGTTTATAATTTTTTGATATTTGGAATTAATTGATGGAGGTAGATGTGTTGTCTGAACGCTGGTACACCTTGTATAGTATGTGCCATAGATCGATATACAGACATAGCATTGTATTGTGTTTGTGTATACATATATTAAAAAGTTGAAAATAAGTTGCTGATATTAGTGAAGTGGGCAAAAAAATGAATGTGTGCCTACAACTTATCTTACTGATTATTATTTCATAGCAAGGAAATGAGAAACCAACATTAGATACTGCCAAGTCTGTGGCTTGTGTCCATATCGTGTATTCTTACCCTTGTTTTCAAATCAAATTTGTATAAATTGTGCATTCTCCCACTCTAGAAGATAAATGAATTGGATTTTAAGAGATGCAATTGATAAGGTTAATTCCCTCAAATTTTGAGCAATATGCAAATCAAAGAAGCTAATGTAATTGAAGCTGGAACAAAATATGTATTGCTGCAAAGCCTTCGAAATGGGTAAGATTTTTCCTGTCGTAGTGATTCAACTGTTGGTTTGCTGGAAATCCTCCCAGTGAAGTTGGGTTGGCCAGGTTTGTACAGGGACCATAAGATAAGATCTGAAGATATTGAATGAACTCTCTCACGGTCCTTTTTCAGTTCACTATGTCGTTTATACATCTGTAAATAAGAATGCATGTCGATTCTGCTGAGTTGATTCATTTGTGAATCGGTATATTAACTAAATTTATAATTTGCATTCATTTAAGAAGAATCAGAGTGGAGGTCTTCTTTTTATGTGATTGGTACTCACCATTAGTATACTGAAGAATTATCCAAGTAAATGCTGCACTAGTTTGGTATGCCATTTATGTGCCCATCTTCATTTGATTTAATTTTACTACTCTTGAATTTAACTTTGTGGTAAAATAAAAGCAGATTGTTGGGTGCAATTTTTTTATGTTGCTGCTCATCAACTGGTTTTTAGGGTGTGTTTGTTTTATTACTTTGGATAAGATTTTTGAAAAAGTAAGAGTTGAGTGGTAACACATAAAAATTAATAAAAACACCCCTTTTATGTTTGTTAATTTACTAAACACCCTTGTAATAAAACATTGAAAATTAATAAAAACACCATCATCCACCCATTACATGTTGACAACCAACCACCACCGTTAAAGGGTGGTCAGAGTAGTCATATTGGCATAAGACCGATTGGATTTGACTAATCGTGTGTTGATATGGTCTTTTTCGATTAGATCCACCGTAGATATGGTTAGAAAATATCAAATCTACGACCAGATCTGGCCACCACCATGACCAAAGACAACGGCCAGATCTTCGATAGTAGATCTAACCTTTTTTAGTCAAATCCACGATGAATCTAACCAAAAAAGGCTGAATCGACGCATTAACCGACCATATCCAACTGATAGTGTGTCATTATACTAGATTCCGACCACCTTCCAACAATGGTGGCTAAAATTTGATAAATGTGGATGGATAGAGATGTTTTTACAATTTCTAAACTTTTTTTTAGAGGGATGTTTTGTTAAATTAACAAACATAGAGGGTTTAAAATAATTACATAAAATAGAATATATGTGTATTTTGAATGGGATAGTGCAAAAATACTGAAACAAACACAACCTAACTATTACGGCTCCAATCTCAAGTTGAATTCTTATAAAAACCATAAAAAGTAAAATGAAATGTAAGAATTTTAACAGAAATGTCTGTACTCCCTTAATAACTTATTGTTTGACTAAAATGACTTAAATTAGCTTATTAAAGCATCTAAGACTGCTCACACTACAAAATGCTGAAACTATTTGCCACATTGGTCTATCTGTGCATGAACAAGCAATAATACTGATGCGCCAATGGAACTCACACAACGATCAAATTTAATTCAGTAGATGGATCTTTGGCTATGAAAGAAATGAAGCAGAAGCATCTAACTAGTAAACCCCCCAATTCATACATTTAAGAAACAGAACTGGCGGTTGAGGGAATATACCAGAACTATGAGCAGTTACATGTAACCATGGCCATGGCAAAAAAGCTTCTAAACGATCTGGATTGGAGGTAATAATATAATATTAATCTCCCAGGCAAAAGAAAAAGCTGGACAAAATTCACCACCTAAGCTCAGAATTTAATGGATGAGACAACAATAAAGCATATGTGATCAGTCCAAAAATAAAATACAATGAACAGAACTATTTTGAGTAAATTAGAGCACACTCCACAAATTCCTCAGCAATCATAAACCATACAAATCTAATCAGAACATTTCACGCCTCATAAACTGTCTTTTTTTCAGTTTCATTTTTCTGTTTGATGGGGAATTAGAGTCTTCATAAAGTTTGTTAGTATGTCGATATTCAACTTCAAATCAACAGTAGGTTTTCCATTAAGTCTTCCCAGTTAGCTTCAGTTACCAACGATTCATACTAAGCAAAATTTACAGACTAATTTTACTTATTTCTTTCAATTAAGCACTGTGAGCCGCCAGTCTTCCTCTTTTTAACCATACAGCTTTCCATGCTTGTACGCCCAAGACTAGTAAAGGTACGAGAGGAAAATCTTGAACGAACGCACCCATCATGTTTGTGAACCCACAATGTAGCCAATGCTTGGCATAACTCAAGTAGACCGCAAAAGCATAGGCCCTTCACCAAAGTATTGACAGTGACCAACAACCACCATATACAAAGCAAAAGGCTCAAGCAGAAAATGATAGATATGCAATATGATTTGCAATGGAATCTTTAATCCTCAAGAACAGCATAGTTAATATATTACACTGACCGATTTCTAACGACATAACATCAGGAATCTGAGTTTAACTCAACAAAAGACAAATCCCGAGCGTAGAAATAGCGGATAACTAGATGAACTAAGAGTCTGGTTACCTTCTCTAGCGGCCAGTTTAATCAGCATATGCCATTTAGCATTGTTATCATCAGCACTGTTTCCGCCTATATCCTTTAGGGTCGGCTCTTTCCTAAAACATATTCATTAATTAATGAATAAAAAGTTCGACCAGTTAGTTAACAGTGAAGCCAAAAGATGAAAAGAGAAGAACTAAAGGTTGCAACATATAGCATTACAGCAACGGTTATTGGATCAACATCAATCTTAGTTAGGCCTCTAGCACATAAGTGGATCAAACCCTTTTAACAAACATCAACTTTCTCAAGTAACAATATTCAGCAATACATGAAGGAAATGTTTCAAGATGGTTTCAGAGACTAAACAAATAAAAGAAGCTCTCACTCACCTTAAAAGTTAATATATCAGACAAATGTCCCACCCAACTAATCCAAGGATCACTTTTCTAAGCTATAGAAAAGTAAAATAACATCAATTCCTACTACTACAATTTAGGGTCAGTAACATAGTCCTCCGATTTCTGCTGTCCTTAAGAACTGACACCAATACTACTTCATTTGACAGGAAACAAAAGTAAAAGAGTACATTAAATAGCTGACTACCTCTCTTTGACAGGGAGTATTTAAACATGTTCTAGTCATGCAAATTATGACCCAAAATTCAAGAACCACAACATAAACAGTAAGAAAATTTCAGTCCAAGGGCAAAAATATACCTGAAGTTCACATCAAAACTCAAATTGCACGTTTGGACATCACGTTGCATATTCCTCACCTAAGGTTGTGACAATGGGTGAAGTTTTAAATGGTACAGATACAATATAGCTGATCTGATAATTTACAACCATTGATCCAAAGATATTAAACTTGGCAGCACTACTGGAAGCAACTTCTGCATCAGAACATTTCCTAAAAACCACTCTGGCACGGCTAGTTTCCTCATCAATTTCTGTCTCAGATTCCTTCAATGGTCCAAAGCGCCTAAATATCTTATTCAGGTTTGTCTCTGAAGGAATGCAGTCTACCTCAGGGAAGTTCAATATAAGTTCTGCAGGTGAATTCTCATCGACATAGCCAGGCGGTTTTGGAGGGGCCAGATCCTGATTGGCAACAGAATGTTGCTTCCTAGAAGATAATCTACGACTCTTTTGAGCAGGTTTCCCCAGTTCAACAGGAACAATTTGATATCCTCTGCCATTTCTACTTGATGGTTGCTCTTCAGCACCATTTTGGATTACCCTGTCTGTCCAATAAGTGTCACTCATATCCTCAAATTCAAAAGTTTCTGGAGACCCAATAATCGAGTGAGAAGATTTTTTCCTTTTACCACCTGCTTTATCCACAGGCCGGCTTAAAATTATTGAATTCCTGAAATCAGAGAAGAAACCAGTAATAGTATTCAGAAAACTGTATCCTTTCATGGGATCTCGTGCTGCCAAATGAAGTTGAGATAGCAAATCATCTAGTGACGAATAATCTGCAGGAAGAATCCTTTTCTTTCCTTCTGCATCCTCAAAATTCTCAAATGAAACATCCGCTCCATCTCCATCAAATTTCTGCAACCTCTCACTATTACTCTTCAGGATAGATGGAGACCCGGTCATTTGGCTAGCAACTCTACGTATGCATTCACCTATTTTGAAGGATGGTTTAGGAACGTGAGATTGGGTGGCAGATACTTTTGCAAGGGAAATAGTTTTTCTCACATCTTGCAATGAGTCATCACCAGTAGAATCAACCACCTTCCGCCTCTTTCCAGAAGATGGTGAAACCACCTTGCTAGTACCGAATTCATCGTCATCTAGAGAATCAAATGAACCACTCATCAACTCAGACAAGCTTCTCTCCTTTCTAGGGTATATGCTATCCTTCAAATTGTGTTTACGCTTATGATATGAGCTTCTTTGAGTTCCAGAAATCTCCTGGCCAGAGTGAATAAGCTCATCATCCTTACTAAAAGTAGTTGCATCCATCTTGTCCTCAAAGTGAAAAGCATCCACACCGTTTTCTACCAAACCTCCACAAAATTGGAATTCAGGTAGCTGATAATACCCCTTTAAACGATAGAAGGACAACAACTGAGCCTTAGATACCACAAGCTCAAGTCGGTCAGCCCCAGAAGATGGAGACTGTGCTAATGCTGTCATATATTCAACTAATTTATCAGGTTGAAAAGATTGAACACCAGCAAATTCATTTACCCCATCTCTCACACTCGACTCTTGTCGGATTCCAGCATTCTCAACAATTTGCAATCTGATATCATCATAAGCATCCTTTGGTATGCAAGAGCAAGCTAGCTCCAACTCCACACGTCTGGAGACTTCTTCTAGAGTACAATTGACAGCATTCTGAAATACTTCTGCATTGCTCTGCTTCTCTACCTGGGAGAAATGTGAATAGAAGGGCTTTAGCTGAGATGCATCAACCCAAGCAAATGTTCGATCCCCAAAATATGCTACCAGAAAACAGTCCTTCTTATAATACTTCATCGCCTTCTCAGATGCATCAGAAGGATCAAAAATCTGTCCAGGCCACCATGGATGGCTCCTCACTTTACCCCAGACCAAATCAAACACATCAAACTCTCCTTTATCCTCTAGGGACAACTGATAACTAGCTTGATGGGATTTCACTAAGTTTCCAGCCTTCACAGTTGTCCGTTTAACAAATTTCTCCTCTGCTCCATGTATAGCACCCTGTTCACTATCTGGTTCTTCAACTTCCATTTCCTCTGCTCCATGCAAATCAACCTGCTCGGCATCAATAACTTGTTCTTCAACTTGCATTTCTTGCCCTGCAGTTGAATCAACTTCATAAAAATCAGCGGGCTCCAGACCTCCAACATTGGAATCCAGAACTTGTTTACTGTCCTTTGGAGCAACTTCACCCCCATTCATGACTTGGATATCCATTTCTGTACTTCCACAAACTACCTCGGCATTAAAGCTCTGCTCATTTCCTGAGCAGGATAGAGTAGCATCAACATCAGAAGAGCGCAGACGTGGAACTTCCACATTCGCATATTTTGGACTGTCATCCACAGTCATAGCCTCACCACTAACAACCTCAAGTGCTGTTTGTACTGTAGATGTTGAATCCAAACATGCATTTCTTTGATTTTCAGCGCTACCACCATCCGTCACAACCTCTGTCAGATGTTTTTGAATTAATATCTCTTTCCTTCCATCTGAATTATCTGGTTTGGCATCATTTAAAGCCTCCTTATTGTCCATGGAAGAAATTTTGTTCTCTCTGCCAGAGACTTGGGTATCTAATTCACTGCCCGTGCACAGTGTCTCATCCTTATTGTTCTGAATATTTCCAGAGCAAGATAACATCCCATCCAATTTAGCATTACCAACTTGTTTTTCAATTCCATTCATTTGTTCTATATTTGAACCAACAAGAGCAGTTCCCTGATCTAAATTCTCTTCCAGCTTCAACTGTTGGGCTTCCTCAAAATTAGGATGCACCTTTCTGGCCATTGCCACGTCTTCACCTCCAACCACCTGGGTTGGCTGAAAAGAGGATGTTGAATCTGCACAAACATTGCAGTGATTTTCAGTGCTTCCATCGGCTTTCTCCACATGTCCCTGCAGTTCTTCCAGTGAAAAACTTAAATTTTCATCGAAAGTATCAGTATCCATACCTTCCATGGTGGTACACATATATTCCCCTTGATCCGTCGCTGAAACTTCCCCCCTAACAGCAACTGGAACTTGTTCATCCAGGGAATTAGGGTTAGCATTAACAATAGCATCTTTTCCAGTTCCTCCATCATCTGTCTCGGCCATTGGAATTTGTTTTTCTTCTGAACTAGAAGAAATACCCTCTACAGCCGGGCTACTAGTAGTATTTTTTTGGGAATCCAAAGCCTCTTCACTAACCACCACTGCATCCTCCTCAACAACCTGGGCAGGTGCACTGGACTCTTCCAAGATTGCAGCAAAACCTGCATCTGCAGTTTCAATACCAGGATTCCATATTTCATCATCCAAAACCCCCAATCTCTGCGTCTCCACAACTTGATGTGCATCATCTCTAGCACCGTTCGATTCACTATCTTGCCTAGCATTCTTATCCAATTCTTTTCCTAAATAATTTTTATTCTCTGTAACAACTTCCACCACAACTTGTGTTTCTCTCTCCAAAGTACCAGACACCACTGCAGAAGATTCTACCCCGTTTTCGGCTCCTTTGCCCTGTGCTTCACTTCCTGCAGTACCAACCATTCCACTACCTCTCTCAACATTATCCCCAAGAAGTCCTCTCTCCAGGTCCTCTTCCCCAGCACCCGCCACTGTCTCCTCCATGTGAGGGATTTGGGTTTCTCCACCTGTTAAACTCATAATTGCCTTAAACTCTTCAACCCCAGTTCCAATTCCCAAATTTTGAACCTCATGATTCACAGAATCAACTTTTCTTGAAGGTTTTTCATCAGCTACATCACCCTCAGCCTCACCTCCAACCACCTCCTTATTTTTCTCCACGCTCTCCTCCGCAACAGGCCCTTCAACCTCCGTCTCCAATCTGTCATTTGATGATGCTTCACCAACAGAAACCCCAATTCCCCTTGTACCCAAATCACCAGCTACATCATCCCCACCACCTGGACTTGTCAAATCTCTCGAGCACTAGCTTCACCAGGCCCACCACGATCACAAATCTCTTCACTGTTTAAATTCTCCTCACCCCCAACCTGTGAAGTACCATCATTACACAAACACCCCCAACCTCCATCATCGTATCCTCTCCACCACCAGAGCCACTCACCAGTAGACCCTCAACCGACCAACCGGAGCCGGAACCTAGACAACTAAGACTCAACCCGAGTCTCACTTTCACCAGCAACCTGTTTATTAACAGTACTATAGACTCTTCCAAATTATCCTAGAAAGAGAAACATCCTTGTCTTTGCCTCCTCCATGTAAAAAATATCTGGGTATGTTTCAAAATCATCAAAGACAGCTTCTTTGAAAAAAAAAAAAAAAAAAAAACCTAACATGCTGTAAGTACAAAAAATCGACAAACCTAATAGACATACAAAGAAAGTAAATTTGCAAGTTATCCGGATATTTAAAGCAAATAAAAGGCAAAGATCAAAAGTTTACGCAGTAAAATTACAGAAAGAGATTAAAGAGTGTACCCTGTAGATCTTCTGAGCAGTGAAAGGCGAGGGTTTGGGTTTTAGACACAGGTGTTTGCGTTTTGAGCATAGAAAATGATAGTTAAGAGATCTAAGGAATTGAACAAAACCCGAACATAATAGTTCTTGTCTTTCACTTTTTAGTGATTGTCATAGTCTCAGACTCTCAGGCCTCGTCTTGAGCTTTCTAATTTTTATTTTTATTTTCTTTTTTGAAAATACATATTATAAATATGAATTACTAATTTAATGATCGTTTTTATATTTAATTGTAAAAAATAATAATACTGTAAGCACCTGAGAAGTTAAAAACATATTGCACACTACTACTAGAGTTTTTTTGTCACCAGAAGATGAAGAAGGTCAATAGAATTGAACTACGTATTAGAATTTAATTTTGTTACGTCACAGTTTTATGACAGACAAAGGCGTACGGGTTAGCGTTTGTGAGTGATAGGATGAAGGTTTTGGATGAGGGATTTCTTTATTTTCTTCATTGCCTTGAGTATGTTGATAAAGCTTATTATGTCACTCTGACTTTATGTGAGTCTGTGACTTCAGTACGTGAATTATTAATTACAGCAACAACAAAACACACACACAAAAATATATATATATATATATATATATAATATATTATTCACAATTAAAAACAAATTCATAATTTAAGATATTATAATTAAGGTTATTAGAAAAAGTTACTTTCACATAGTAATTATTATTTATACATTACAAAAAAAAAAATTTATTATAATACATTAAAGGTTTAAGATAAAATAAAATATTTATTTAAAGTTATTTGAGATAAAGATTTATGCTTTAGAGTTGTTGCTATATCTTTTAACTTGCAGGTAGATTACTCGCTAACATAAACATCTTCTTGTTGAAGCCAAATATTTTTAGTTTCTCAGGTATGTTTAAAGCTTTTTGGCCCAAAACTTTTTTTATTTTTGTATTATCATCCTTATGATTATTTTCTTTATCTTCTTGTCTAATTATAATAATGATTTTTTTTTTAGTTAAAGCACACATGACTTATTGCTCATTTGAATTATTGAGAAAGACATTAATATCCATTCGATTAGTGTAATAAAGTTGTCGAATATAATCACTAAATTCTATAATAAGTCTTTGATTCTCTTCGTCCATTTCATTTGTAACTTGCAATTCATAAACATCGGAGATCCTAATTTGATAATGATTAAAACAATTGACAATAGTATGTGGTTTCACATCAATTTGCTGCATAATTTTGTAATGATTAAAATAATTGGCAATAGTATGTGGTTTCACATCAATTTGTTGCATAATTTTGTAATGATTAAAACAATTAGCAATAATTTGTGGTTTCACGTCAATTTGACCATGCAGCAACTGCATTTACAATTTCATCAAGGACATTTATCTTTTTTGGTTTCAAGACACGATATTCTATCCGTTTCAAAAGTAGGTAATTGAAGTGCTGAATTTAAATCTTAATAGTATTAAAACATCAATTAAAATCCCAATATTGTACTAAAACATGAATTATAAAGAAATTTTTGTTACCACACCTCTATTAAGTTATAACCTCTTTATAATAATAAAATTAATTAATCTCACCATTATGACTATAGGGAGAGGTTTTACTGTATTTATTTCTAAAATCTTGGCAATAAATTATTAATGTCATTGAGATAAATATTAATTGGCGCTGCATCCGACTTATTCATGTAGATCTTATGCAATTATTAGGGCTCAATTTGTTACACTTTTTGAAAAACATTATTGGGAAAAAATGTTTTGAGTTGAGTTGAGTTAAATCAAATAAATTTGAATTTGAAAATATATTTGTTAAAATATCTTAAAATTATATTAGAGTTTGGAAAAAATGCTGAATAGTTGTTTATTACATTTTTTAAAAGGTTTTTAAGGTAGAATAGTTGTTTGGTACATTTTTAAAAAATATTTTAACTATTTTAACCCTCTATATTTGTTAATTTAGCTAAACACCCCACAATAAAAATTCAAAAATTAACTAAAGCACCCCAACCACCTAAGAGAATAGTTGGCCGTCGGCCACCATCGTCGAACGACAGTTGACAGTCGCTAGATCGATGCATGATCGACTGGATCTAGTTGATCGTGCACCGATATGATAATCTTTGGTCAGATGTACGGCCAAAATCTGATTGTCAACGACCAGATCTCGACCAGAATTTGGCCGTAGATCTAATTGTTTCCGATCAGATCGGTGTATAACCAGCTAAATCCTACCAGTCGTGCGCCTTTTCAACTAGTGGCGGTTGCTGGCACACGGTGATGGCCTTGGGTGGATTAATTTTCAAATTGAAATGAGGGAAAAATGAGAAGAAGAGAAAGAAAATTATTTTCAGTTAAACAAAGTTAGATAATCTAAAACAAGAGTCTCACCCTCTTTTCACTTTTAGACAAAAAATCTTCCATTATTTATTATTGTTATGAATGGGCCTTGTGAAAAAATCGAAGCTGCACAGAGTATTGTAGAAATGGGCCTCAGATGGGCCGGACTCAAACAGCCCAGGTGGATTCCATTTGAAAATAAGACATGGCAAGGCAAAGTTGAATACACGAGTTTCTCTTACATTGTTTTTAGTTATGGTAATAATATGCTTCTTCACAGCTTAGATGTTAGAAAGAAAGAGGATTAAAGAATCTTATCAAACACCTAATTAATAAAAATAAGAATAAATTAAATGAAAATTAAAATTAAAAATTATTGGAAAGAAATAGCCACAACAGATCATATAATAATAATCTTTGTTCTGAGCAGCTTCTTCTTCTTCCATTTTCTTCTCTTGCATTGCATTGCCATGTTACTGCCAGCTCACCTACAACCCCTTTTATGCCTTTTCACCTCCGCCAACTGTACTACCTATTCCACAGCCAAACAAACTGTTTTTGTAATATCAGTTTTTATTTTTATTTTCAATTTAATTAAAATAATGGTCAATCAGACTTTATCATGTGAGTGATGCTATTCCTGAAGGGCGCCAGTTGGCAAATGGGTAAAACTTCAATTCAAACCCAAGAAGAGATCCACGTGCTAAATTGATCCAGGAAAAATAACATATTCGTCCCTAAGGTTTAGTTAGGAAACTTTTTGGTGCCTATCAGTATCAGAGTATCAGTTACAGTTTAGTTAACCTCAACTCAAGGATGACATTGTTACTTGTTACAGGCGTTTACTAGGTTTGGCATGCAATCGAGTGTGGCGGATGTAGAATAAAATCAATCAATGATTAAGTACCTGTGTTAGGAGCAGCAATTGATGCAGGTTTTGACATCATAGTAGGGACCGTTGTCATGGGCCCCGCTGTTGTAGGTGGGAAGATGTGGGCCGGTAAGCCCATTGTCTGTGATTGATGGAAATGATACAGAGGGTACATTGGCATCAGTGTGTTGGCACCCATAATAGCTTGCCCCGTATACACCTGTGGCTGTGAGTAATGCCCGTTCATGTAGGACCCGCCAGTGTAACTCAACTTCTGTGCACCACACCACACAAAAAACAAAACCAATTGAACGTTACTATATTTTTCCAAATTGATTCTTCACCGTCTGATCATGATTGGCACTATTTACTTGGCCGTTAGTAAGGGCTAGATAATACAACAAACGGCAATAAAGGATTTTGATTTTTATATTCACGAGAGGGCCACTTAATTGTGGGGTCACTATCGCTTATCATTAGCATTAATCAATGGCAAATTTTTCAAAACTAATACCCATGTGCTTTGCATCACACGGTAGATCAGTGAGGACACATGAATCACGATGAGAGTGCAGTTTTATCTAATCATATTCCAGATCGTTAACTTACATGATTGTAACTGACATCAGTAGCAATGTAGGTCGGAGAGTACCTGAATATAACAGTGAAATAATCCGGTAAGACAATGTCTACCTTAATGAAATACATCCCAAAGGAAACAAAAGTGAAAGTGGGACATATACCCATAGAAAGGAACTGGCTGCTGATGCTGATGATGAAATGGTGCTGTTGGTGTGCCAGGTGGGTAGTACCACTGCACATGATTTGCCGGCGCTGCTGACGTGGACCTCGGTCCAACGTTTGATCCTTCATGATTTACATCAAATCATTAGAACCCACCACATAAAGTTACATATAATATCCACCTACTAAAATCCCATCCTCCAACGTACTTCTTACGAAGACAACGAATTCCGAAAAGATTTTTTTTTTGAAATCTTGATGACAAACAGTCTATGACTTGAATAGTTTCAATCGTTATGCTGTATTCTTGATATAGTACGCTTTTCTTTTTTTTCTTTTTTTCTTTTTGGTGATAGTTTTATGGTTCAAAACCTCGTTTATTTTGCAGGTATTTATTTTCCTCTGCGAGAGTTGGTTCGTTGAAAATGGCAGCAACAGCAGCTTCCAGCCTTCAGATGGCGGCGGTGAGGCCGTGTGTTTCAACTTCTCACAGAGCTGTCAAGGCAGGTGTTGCCTTTGTTGCTGGAAATTCTCAGAAAGCCTCATGGGCCAACCTTGCAAGTGCTTGTCACATGTCATCTGTGCAACCTCTCCACCGGAGTTTTATGTCATCTTCGGTAAAACTTGACAAGGTTGTTACAAAAGCAGCAGCTGAATCTAGTGATAGCAAGCCTGTATCTGGGTTGCCAATTGACTTGAGAGGTTTGTTCTTATTCATCTTCCTCGAATTTTTCATTGCTCGGACAAAATTTAAATTTCTTTTATTATTTATTTATCTGAAGTTGTAATGTTTTGTATTTAGAATGATTTTGCTATCTTTTTAAGTTGTTGCAAGGACATATATTGTGTGTTTGTCCCAGAATTCTCTTTAAGTAAGCCCTACATGCTCATTTGATCTTTCAAAAGTGTGAAGAGGAACCATTAACATGATATCCTTATGCTAATTCTGTGCTTAAACCTGCTTCATCCCGAACGCAATCAATGGATCTATATAGTTATAAACTAGTGAAAGAATCATAAGTTTGCTCTTGTTGTGGGTAGCTGATGTCTTTACATGGAGCTATTAAATATCAATGTTGTAACAGAATCTCTTCAAACAGTTCAACTGTTATCATGTTGAAGTTGAATTAGTCATTGTTTATCCACTTTAACACTGATGTTCTATCGATCATTAAAAGTTAAACCTCCCAAACTAACTCTGGTACTGGTGTCTTCAGGTAAGAAGGCATTTATTGCTGGTGTAGCTGATGACAATGGATACGGTTGGGCTATAGCAAAATCTCTTGCTGCTGCTGGTGCGGAAATTTTGGTGGGGACATGGGTGCCTGTAAGACACTAAACCTTCATTCTTATTTTCTCCTCATTTTCAAATAATCTGATGTTTTTCAAGCTCGGTAAAGGGATGTTCATTTACTTACATTTCTTGTTTAGGCTTTGAACATTTTTGAAACCAGTCTGCGACGTGGAAAGTTTGATGGATCACGTGTGTAAGTTATTAATCTTGGTTTATGCGACATTATAATGGGTCAATTCTTGATGAATGGCTCGGCTGAAATAATTTTGATGTTTCAGGTTGCCAGATGGTTCTTTGATGGAAATCACCAAAGTATATCCCCTAGATGCAGTCTATGACAGCCCTGAGGATGTGCCTGAAGATGTAAGGATGTGTGCAGTTACTGTAAAATACGTGAAGAATTTACGATAAACATTTTCTTATCCTGTCATTTTGTGTAGGTGAAAGCAAATAAGCGTTATGCAGCGTCATCTAAGTGGACTGTTAAGGTATATAAACCATATTTTTTCTTTCCTTATCATTTGTCGTTGAGAATTTTGTAATGTTGCCATTGTTATTGAATAAGTCATTGACCATTTTCTGACTGAAAGATTAATTTGATATGTAATTTAGTTTCACATCTAACGTTATGATCAGCATTTTGCTTTATTTTGTTTCCTATAAGTCATTCACTATTTAACTGCTCAAAATTTTAAAATACACGCATTTTTCTTTCTACCATCATTATAATTGCTACTGTCACTCGGCATGATTTTTTAATGTTTGGTTGCTTTTGAATGTGTTGCAGGAAGTTGCTGAATCCGTGAAACAGGATTTTGGCAGCATTGACATCCTTGTGCATTCACTTGCCAATGGACCAGAGGTACTAAAGTTTCTGTATAAGGAATCTCTGTAAACCATTATTTTTTGTATTTGACAATAAATGATCTCCTTACCAGGTGAGTAAACCTCTGCTGGAGACGTCGAGGAAGGGATATCTTGCAGCTGTATCAGCTTCAAGTTACTCTTATGTTTCCTTACTCAAGCATTTTGTTCCAATAATGAATCCAGGCATGCTTCTTGACTCTATAATCTGCCTGTTTTTTCCTCTCCACATATCTCAATACATGATAAATACAACAAGACGCATTTCTAGAATCTAAATTCATTTTTACTGATATAGGTGGTTCATCAATTTCTCTTACATACATTGCTTCCGAGAGGATCATTCCAGGGTATGTTTGATGTGCATCGATCATTCGATTATCGATGAATGTGGAGTTATCACTACTTTTTCATTTGACACATTTTTTGAACTATTTCAAAACAGATACGGTGGTGGCATGAGTTCTGCTAAAGCTGCACTAGAGAGTGACACAAGAGTGAGTTCTTATTTCTTCTCTACTCATGGTTCACATTCATTCTAATCACTGCTCCTTAAATTCGTGTATAAAGTCGATTCATTTTCTTCCTTTACTTGATCATTCAGGTGCTTGCTTTTGAAGCAGGAAGAAAACACAAAATCAGGGTCAATGCCATATCTGCTGGTATCTTTGCAACACCATTCGTTTTTAGACTTCTTTTTTGAGAACATGCAACATATTATTTTGTCCTGCAGGTCCGCTAGGAAGTCGTGCAGCAAAAGCAATTGGATTCATCGACACAATGATTGAATATTCATTTGAGAATGCACCACTGCAGAAAGAACTATCAGCAGGTATCTGCTGGAACTTATTCCCTATCTTAATTTCATTTTCTGCTTGTGCTATTTGTCGAACAAGATTACTGAGTTTAACAAACCAATGAAAACAGATGAGGTCGGGAACACAGCCGCCTTCTTAGCATCACCTTTGGCATCTGCAATCACTGGTGCTGTCATATACGTCGACAACGGTCTTAACGCGATGGGAGTGGGAGTTGACAGTCCAATATTTAAGGACCTTAACATTCCAAAAAGCAAGCACTAGTGTTACAATGGCAACATATTTTCTCTTCCCTAGGGTGGCTAGATTGCGGCGGGATTTCGAGTTAGTTTTTTTTTAGTGTTTTTGCTTTAGGGGTTGTAATATTTTATGAGGCTTTGTTTGATTGAGATTGTTGTCAAATTAACAACTTTTAATAATGTGTTTAATGTTAGTGCCATGCCAACTAGAACATGTAAGTTAAAGGGTCTAATTATGTTTCAAAAGTACTGAGCTCCAATTAAGATATTTGTATCGATAACACCCAACGAAGGAAATGCTCTCACATGATTTGGGCTGTAAGTCCCTTCATGAGTATCTGTATCGGTAAAGGTCATTGTTTTCTGTTTGTCAAATATTATATAAAGTTTGGCGGGTTCCAATTTTGAATCGAGTCTCATAACATAAGGTCAGGGATTTTTGGATTATAAAAAAAGAATTTAAACCCTAGGTAGCTTGAAAATTACAAATGGTCCACAAGATGCTTTCTTTTCCACAACTTTTATTAATTTATTGTTTTCTTCACACTATACGTTAAGGAATAATATTAGGTTTACAATTTAATTTTACAATTTTCGATGTAGAAGCTCATTATAAAATGAGTCTGTCCATTTACAAACTAATTAATGATCAACTATCATGTTGAAAACTATGAAAAAAAGTCGGTGAAAAAAGGTTGTAAACTTATGATTATTGTAGGTTAAAAGTTGATAAATTTATACAAATATATTTTATTTTATTTGTATCACCAGTTTTATCAGTTATTATCCTTGTCTTTTCTTAAATTTAGATTTATGCAAACAATGAATTTTAATCAATTCTCTTTAAATTTCATAAATTTATAGAAAGGGTTTAAGATTTATGCAAACAATGAATTTTAATCAATTCTCTTTAAATTTCATAAATTTATAGAAAGGGTTTTTTTTTTTTTTTTTTTTTTTTTAAGTAAACTCTCATATGTTTGATTTTCTGTAATTGTAGAATTATGATTTTAACCTTGATGTGTTTAACCTTGTTCTAGTAAACACTCGTTAATTTAAGAAATGTCACCCTACAAACTATTAAAATATTCTGTTTAAATTAGTACAAAAATGACATTTTTACTATTCATATAAATTCAATCAAACATCCAAAATTTGTAAATAATATCAAAAAATTAATATTTTTTTAAAGATTGAATTGATAAAATTTATTGATATATTTGAATATTGAATTGATAAAATTAGTTAATAAATTTAAATATTGAGTTGATGAGATTTCCAAAACCTAACTACTCACAAAAAGACTAAACACACAAAAGTTTCCTTTATAAAAACTATCTTTTTAATTTACATTGACCAATATCTGTTCATCAAGTAATTTACTGTTATAATTAATATTTTATATT